TTTCGCTCCCCGCGCCCCCCTTGCCACTTGTCCTTAGGTTTTTGTGTTTTTTTTTTTCCTGACATTCTTTGTCCAAATCTTTTTATTTAATTGAAACAATACAGATATGTATTTCCGGATAAGATCGAGATTCTGGATCGGTTCACGATACACGCGTGGACCTGTCAATGTCACACAGCAAATGAAGTCACCGCAGATGCCTCTGCCTGTCACCGTTGAGATATAATAAAAGGAAAAAAAAAAAAAAAAATACACACGCGGAACTATCAACGACTATGGCCGTCGATCTCCTCTGGATCGACGTGTGGAACTGTTCTTTTTTTTTTTTTTTTTACGTAACTAACCAGATAAATCATTCCACCAACCTAGAACGGTCATGCACGACCACCCATAGAATCAAGAAAGAGCAACACGTGGAACTCTGTTTGGTCCCACGCGTGGGACTCTGTTTGGTGGCACACGTGGGACTCTTGTCTGATCGACACGTGGCGACTCTGATTGGTCGCACACGTCGAACTTTGTCTGATCGACACGTGGATCTCTGTTTGATCGACACGTGGAACTCTGTTTCAGTCGCACTCGTCGAAATCTGCTCGATCGACTCGTTGAGCTCTTATTTGATTGACACGTGGAACTCCTGTTTCATCAAATCCTGTAATTCTGTTTGGCCGGCACGTGGAACTCTGTTTGCTTGCGCTCGTGGAACTCTGAACACGTGCAACTCTGAACACGTGGAACTCTGAACACGTGGAACTCTGAACACGTGGAACTCTGAGCACGTGGAACTCTGAACACGTGGAACTCTTGACACGTGGAACTTTGTTTGATCGAACCGGGGCTCTCATTGACGACTCGTGGCACTCTTTTTGGTCGACCGACTCCGCGCTTGAGCGCGACACGTGGAACTCGGTTCTCTGCTTGATCGACTCGTTGAGCTCTTATGTCACTGACACATTGAATTCCTGTTTGATCAAACCGTGGAACTCTGTTTGGTCGCGCGCGTGGAACTCCAACTCTGTTTGGTAGCGCGCGTGGAACTCTGTTTGGTGGCGTTGGTGGCGTCGGATCGTGGAACTGCGTTTCATCGGATGGTGGAACTCTGTTTGGTCCTGCGCGTGGAACTGTGGAACTCTGTTTGGTCGCGCGCGTGGAACTCCAACTCTGTTTGGTAGCGCGCGTGGAACTCTGTTTTGGTGGCGTCGGATCGTGGAACTGCATTTCATCGGACGGTGGAACTCTGTTTGATCGCGCGCGTGGAACTATGTCTGGTGGCGCATGTGGAACTCCGCTTCATCGCGGACGTGGAACTCTGTATGGTCGCGCGCGTGGAACTCTGTTTTGTACCGCACGTGGAACTCTGTATGGTCGCGCGCGTGGAACTCTGACACGTGGAACTTTGTTTGATCGAACCGCGGAACTCTCATTAACGACTTGTGGAACTCTTTTTGGTCCACTCCGGTTGATCCACACGTGGAACTCGTCTTTTTTTTTTTTTTTTTGTTTTGTTTTGGTTTGTTCTTTTTTTTTTCACAGAAAACTTTGCTGCGTTGAGAAGTCGTTTTCTCATAGTTCTGTGGAGCTCCGTTTGAAACCAAACCAAACCAAACCACTGGCAGGAGGCCAAGTCAAACCGAAATGAAGCAAAGCCAGGCTGAAGAAAACAAACCAAACCCGGTAAGATAACCAAGCCGAACACTTTATTTGGTAGACTCCGCTTGATGGAGACGTGGAACTCTGTTTGATCGAGACACGTGGGACACGTGGGACTCTGTTTGATCGACACGTGGAACTCCGTTTAAAACCAAACCAAACCAAACCAAGTCAAGTCAAGTCAAGTCAAACAGGACTGAAGAAAAGCGAAACCAGACTGGAAAAGAAAAAACGAACTGAAACCTAGCCAGACCAGAGGCAACAAAACCAAACTGAACCTAGCCAAACCAGAGGCAACAAAACCAAACTGAAACTTAGCCAAACTGAACCAAACCAAACCAGAGGCAACAAAACCAAACTAAACTAAACCAATCCAAGCTGAAACCAAACCAAACCAAGACAAGACAAGTCAAACCGACTTGAACCAAAGCCAGGCTGATAACAAACCAAACTGAAACCTACCCTAAACCAAAACCAAGCCAAACTGAAACCAAACTACACCAAACCAAACCAAACCAAACCCAACCAAACCCTAAACCAAACCAAAGCCATACTGGAAAAAAAAAAAGACTGAAACTTAGCCAAACAAAAAGAAAACAAGTCAAACTGAAACCAAACCAAACCAAAGCAAACCAAACGGAACTGAACCAAAGCCAGACTGGGAAAGAAAAAAAACAAACAACCAAACTGAAACCTAGCCAAACAAAAACCAGGCGAAACTGAATCCAAACTGAATCAACCAACCTGGAAACAAACCAAATTCAAACCAAACTAAAACCCTAAACCACACCTAAGCAAACTAAACCGAATGCGGAACTCTCATTAACGACACGCGTGGAATTCGTTTTGGTCCGCTCCGGTTGGTCATTAGAGGGGCGGTATTAACCAGACTGAAGCCCAACCAAACAAAAGTCAACTCAACCAAACAAAAGTCAACTCAACCAAACAATAGTCAACTCAACCAAACAAAAGTCAACTCAACCAAACTGACAGCAAACCAAACTGGAATCCAACCAAAAAGGGGTGGTGGAGTTTTCGCACACACAAACTCAAGGAGTGGGTGAAATTCCATGCAGAATGATACAGTCCACAGAGTCCCAAACATCATCAATCATACTCAGAGATACATGATGAACCTGGCGTTCGTTCATTCATCCCACTAGGTGATAAAAGTAGAGAAGAGCGAGCTCCACATATATTGATAAAAAAACCGACCTAGAGGGTTTGGCATGTCAATAGACGTAATTGTGGTCAGATGCATCTAGGTCAGGCCATAAATCAAACCGACCTATAGAGATCCATGTGTCGATCAGTCAGTCGGAGTTGGAAACCGAAGTGAAACAACCACACAAACTTGGAATCAAACCAACGAAAGTGAAACCAATCCAAAATGGAATGACATCAAATAAAACTGAAACTGACATCTAACCACACCACAGGTCCACAAATTGAAGCTAAACCCTAAACCAAGACTTCAATCTAAACCAGACTGCAAACCAACCAAAGTGAAGCCAAACCAGACTTATTATACCCAATCACCGAACGCAAGCACCAAGCTAAGACCAAACCTCAAACCAATCCAAACTGAAACCAAACCAAAATTAAAATCATTCTTGTGGGTTATTAATACTTATTATTGGTTTTATATTTCTAAAACACATCACACTGAACTGGGTGCAGTCCCCGATTGTCTTTTTTTCAGTTCGATTTGATAGCAGACCCAAACTTAAAACAAACGGAGAGAGAGAGAGAGAGAGAGAGAGAGAGAGAGAGAGAGAGAGAGAGAGAGAGAGAGTATACACACACACACACAGAATGGGGACCATGCTGGAGGTGCTACTTCATTTGCAGTCCCCAACGAGTTAAGCTTGATAAAGACTTATAGCAAACTTGCTCTTGCCATGCTTTTGACTAGTCTTGTTGTTTTTTGTGTCCGTCCTTCTTCTTCGGAGTGTGTGCAAAAGGCAATGCAGAGACGGCTTATCTCTGGAAGAAGAGGAGGGAAGTGCAGCACTAAAGACGTTGTGTTCACACCTACAGAACTGCAAAATTCGTTTCTCAATCTCAATAGGGATGCCAGCAAGCACGTATCTTCCAAGAGACAGCAAGGGTCCAGTAAATGGTCGAAGACATAATACTCGCGACCGTAACTTTGTCATGTGACATTCAACTTTCCTGGCATAACTCCTTGGTAAAAAGCACATTTTGAGAGGCGACAAGTGTAAAGTAAATGTTCTTAGACATCATACTCGCGGCCGTAACTCTGTCCATTAGCATTCAATTTAACCTCCGTCACCCCTTCATAACCCCTCCGTAACCCCTCCATAACTCCTCCGTAACCCCTCCAACGATGTTCTTCGACATCGTGGAGGAGGAGGAGGAGCAGGAGGAGGAGCAGGAGGAGGAGCAGGAGGAGGAGGGCATTTAAACGCGATTGGTGCTCGCCACTGTGGAGTGTCAGCACTTTGGGCTTGATGTCAGTGGCATTGATAGGGATTTGTGTTTTCGACTTTGCTCACGTCGGCAGTGATGGCTGATAAGGGGGAGAAGTGGTAGGGGTTCATGGTGCTGAGGGAGGTGAGTGAGAAGTAGGAGAGGTGGAAGGTTATGAAGGCATGTAAGGGGATAGTGGTGAGCGGCGCGGATTATGTACTGATTATCTCGACCAGGAATCTTGATTATTTGCTGAGCTCAGAGCCAAAGAGCCCTTCTCTTTTTTGATCCCATGACCTTCACAAGGAGTTTGATTCTCATCGACCGACAAGAATTAGTGATCAGAGAAGCAGTCTTGCAGCAGGAGTATGAGCACGAGGGCGGAGACTCGCCAGAGAAGCAGGGTGGCCATGAAGGCAGCTCTCCTCCCTGCTGTTCACAGCAATATATGCGGGTGGTTGTGGCGCATGAAAAGCTGAGGAGCAGTACTGTTTCTGTGAACCAACTTGGAACATATGGTAGAGAAAGGAATGTGCTGCAGATAGCGGAGAGAGGAGCAGACACTGCCGCTGCAGCTGCTGAAGTGCAGGTCATTATAGCTCTATTTGGGGCAACTTCGCGTCTATATACAGCATCATACGGAATCCCCGCTGACTACCCCCGTCTTCATGTCTAGATACAGCAGGAGGAGGATTCGGAGAAGAAGCATGACGAGTAGAGAAACCACCAAGCTGTTGGTGCAACTTACTTCCAGTCCGGATACGGCAATAATTACCGGGCGTTCTATTTTTGGGGGAAGAGTGTAGCTATAGAGGGGGGTGTGGGGAGAAGGGTGGGCGGGTGGTGAATTTGTGAAAGGGTGCCGCGGCAGGACGTACAGGCAAGATGGCGGCCGCTAAAACCGGTGGCATTGATGTGGAGAAGTTGAAGTCGAAGATCGTGGAGGCGAGGAAGACGTCGAGGCTCAACTTAAGCTACTACTTCCTGACCGAGGTGTCGATCAATATGGTCATGCAAATCAAACAAATGGCTCCTACCCTGCAGGAGTTGGATCTGCGAAGCAATGCGCTGTCGTCCCTCCCACCGGAAATGGCTGAACTGAGGAATCTGAAAGTGCTGAAGTTAAATTACAACAGGTTCATCGAGTTTCCAAAGGTAGTCTGCAGCCTTCCTAAGCTGCAAGTCCTTGAGCTGAGTGGAAATCAGCTTGCAGATGTCGACTACGCGATCGGGAGTCTCGCAAACTTAAGGGAGTTGGATCTGAGTGGCAACAAGATCCAACGGTTGCCACCGAGTTTCATCAACCTGTCGTCTCTCATTTCCTTCAATATAGGGAACAACCAGCTGATGGAAGTCCCGGAGCACATAGACGCATTGCCGAATTTGTTGCGAGTCGACTTCAGCTCTAATCGGCTAACGAGGCTTCCGGAGACGATTGGCAATTTGCCGGCGTTAGTGAAGTTGGACCTGAGCGGTAATCAGCTGACAACGGTGCCGACTTCGATCGGGTACATGAAGCAGCTTCGGGAACTGAACGTGAAGAACAACGAACTGAAAGAACCGTGGAAGACGAAACAGGAGATGGGATTCGTGAAGTTCATGGAGTATCTCCGAGAAGAGAACGAGCGGCAAAAACTGGAGGAGATGGAGAAGAGAAAGCCTGTGGGAGTAGAGATTGGTCCTTACATGGAATATCACGTGAAGTCGGCGTACTCAGAGTGTCCTGTAGTTCGGACTGGCCACACGCTAGTCCCCGGCGAAACGCATATTTACCTCTGGGGCGGAGTCGTAAACCAAGAGAAAGCTACGGAGCTGTGGCGAATAGACTACCAATTCTTAACGTGGGGAAAACTGTATCCTGAGGGGATCAGTCCTGCTCCGAGAGAGAACCAGTGCGCAGCCATAGACCAGAAAAGCAATCGGTTGTTCATCTTCGGAGGACGTGCTGCTGAGCGCAAAAGACTGAACGACTTCCATTACCTCGACCTGCAGACCGTCACTTGGCAGAAGCCCCTGACGGATGGAGCTGTGCCGACCCCAAGAGAGGGCGCTTGCATGCTTGTCGGGTTGGATGGCACCATATATGTCTTTGGCGGTCATGGAAGCCGTCAGAGACTCAACGACCTATTCACTCTCAATCCTGAAACCTGGACCTGGTCTCAGCGCACACCCATCGGAACGGTCCCCCCTCCCAGACAGAATGCGGCCATGGTCATGACGGAGGGCAGACTGTTCGTCCATGGCGGCAAGAGCAACCAAGTGATGTCAGACCTCCACATGCTTGATCTCAATGGAATGATATGGTACAAGGTTACCGTGGGCGGGCAGGTTCCGCCTCCCAGGTTTGGGCACGTAATGACGGTGGACGAAGATACGATCTTCATCTATGGCGGGGTCGAGGACAACGCCGTGATCCAGCCCGTGTACTCGCTGTTCAAACTGGACCTAGAGACACAGAAAGAACAGCAACGGATCAAAGATATGGAGGAAGCTATGGCATCCAGTTCTTTGCTTCGCAAGAAATCTCAATCTCACAACTTGAAGGATGTTCCCACAGGGTTCTACAAATCCCAGCTCCCTCTTCCAGGGGGATCTAAAGCTGGAAAAACTCCTCGCGCCTCCAAGAGGATCCGTGTAATGGGTACGAAGTTGTGGACCGAAATGGAACATCGAGCAATTGCCGATAATGCATCTCGAACATTCTGTTTTGCAGGGGGGCGGTTATTACTCTTCCAAAGCGGCTCAGCACAGAAACCAGAACAGAAGAGTGCAGCAGCTGGGACGGATGCTGCGGGAACAAATCCCCCTGAAAGTGCTTCTGCTGCTGCTTCTTCTTCCCTTCCCGCACTTCCCCCTCCTGCTGTCCCCACTTCAGCTGCTTTTTCTCCCTCTTCAGCACCACCCACATCTTCTCCTCCTCCTCCTCCTCCCGCTCCGGCTGCTCCTGGTGCTGCTGGTGCTCCTAGTGCTCCTGCTGCTTCTCCTGCTGCTGCTCCTGCTGGTGCTCCTGCTGCTTCTCCTGCTGCTGCTCCTGCTGCTGCTCCTGCAGCTTCTCCTGCTGCTGCTTCTGATGCTGCTCCTGCTGCTGCTCCTGCTGCTGCTGGTACAACCTCTGCGCTCGATGCTGCTATTGCTGCAGCGATAGCGGTAGAAGAGGACATACTTATGGGTCTGAACACCGTCCCGACCGCGGCACCTGCCCCCGAAAACCCAGATGTCTGGGACACATTTCTTTACGGTAATGTGCACAGGTTTGATCGTATGAGCCTTGAGGGAAGCAGCTTGAAGAGGCTGCATCCGAAGAAGAAAAGGATACAAATCACGCTGCAGACAATGATGGATAAGCTCCCTGCTTCTTTCACCACCATCTCGCCCAAGGAGTACAAGTTGCTGGAGCATGTGCACAGGTTTTATTACGAATACCGTGAGCTATATCCTCGCAGGGGCAACCTGATGCTCATTGCCAAGAACGAATGCAATGTAGGTAAGTTCGTGTGCAGCACCATTCGTCCCAGCATGCTTCCTTACACGGAGCTGTACAATGTCAATACTTGCAGCAACTTTGTGTCGGAGTTTCTGGAGTACACTCCTTTGGAAGACCCACTGACTTTTCCCTCCCATCTCCCCTCTCCCTGGTCCATCGTCCAATGGCAAGTCGGCGACTCCTTCGACTTCAGTGTTGTCCTCGCCTCTCTCCTGATCGGTGTTGGGTACGATGCTTACTGTGTTGCGGGGTACGCTCCCAAGCACATCACCCTTAACATCCTCGAGTACACGGACTACCCGCCTCCCAACCAGATCGATCCGCTCACGCTGAAACACCGCCCATCGTTCATCCTCTCAACTCTGGGCCCTCATGTTCCCGCAGATGCCCCTGCCAAAAGCCAACCTCAATCCACAGACCCACCACCGAAGCCCAAGTATGCCATACGGAAGACCCCTGTTTTGGAAAGCAAGTTCCTTAAAGATCTTGATGAGAGAGCGAGGGAGGCCAGACGGATTGCTGCAGCTGCAGCAGCGATGGTTCGGATGAAAAGGAAGAAGAGGAAAAAGAAGAAGGGCAAAAGGCTATATGAAGGTCAAGGGATGGATCATGATATCACGGAGGGCTCAGCACTCGAACGAGAAGCTCGGGCCAATGCCCGATCTGATCTGTCCAACGTGCAAGCGGTTAAAAGTGGTCTCCTTTCAAGTGCAGATTTGGCTGCCTCTCCCCAGACGAAGGGTGACAATCTGTCAAACGGTCACGGGAACTCTGCAGGCAGGCCTCCAGAGTCTGACAAAGAGAATGATTCTTCCATAGCAAATACTCTTCCGCAGACTGCTACTGTAGCAGCTCAGGATCATACACAGAGAGCTGCTGCAGCTGAGGAAGGTGACTTGACAAAAAAGGTACCGGAAGCCAAAGCAAACGATCTTCAGCCAAATGGTACGGATGAAAAAACAGAGTCTTCTGCGCAGAAGGATGTCTCAGTGGAGGTCGCGCCAAAAACAGAGGGAACCGATCCACAGGCTCAGCCAACAGCGGCGGATGGAGGAGGTGCAACGTCTGGTGATGAAACTTCAGGCGTGGGGGAAGGTCAAGGGGAGGAGGAGGAGCAGGAGGCAGATGGAGGTGGTGCGGATGATGAGGAAGGCGAGGAATCCGATGAGGAAGAAGATGAAGATGATGAGCAGAAGGGCAGTGAAGAAGGGGATGAGAATGAAGAGGGTGAGACGGAGGTGGGTGAGAAAGGTACGATGAAGGATGAGCTTGAGCGACGGAGAATGCATTCCTGGGTACTGGTTGCTGCTGGGAGGAGGGAGGTTGGCGAAAGCTTCTTTGTGGAGCCAACAACCGGGAGGTTTTACACGTTGAAGACCTCACCGTACGAAGCAGTGGAGTTTGTGTGGAACCACTGCAACTTCTGGATCAATATGCAGCCTAATACGGAGCGATCTGGGGTAGCCTCGATCTCCTGGGATTTCACGAATTACAAGCTGTGGGAAAGAGTGTTGGACGACATAAGCGATGAGTGCATACCCTTGGATCCCGCAGGAGCTGAACGAGGGGATTCTCGATCCCAGCTCCAAGACAACCCACAGCAGGGAGACGGTTCAGCCACACCTCTGGGCGCAACTTCTCTTGTAGCCACGACAACAGCCGCGGCAGGCGGCACAGCAGCTGAGACGCCAGGGGACACTCAGCGCAGTCCTACTATTAAGTCAGTTGCAGGTGGAGGAGGACCAGCATCAGACCGTAGCGATGTCACTGCCCCGGTCTCGGTGGAAAAGGGTGCTGGAACGGAAAGCCGACCTCAGAGTTCAAGCCGCTTGCTGCAATCAGGCAGTCTTTCTCCAACTACAGGTGGAGCGGCTGCATCAGAAGGGGCGGGAGATGAAGGTGGTGGGGATCCCTTAGGTGACCTGAAGAAGAGCGGGGCGACCAAGGGCACGAGCACAAGAGCACCATCTACTGCCGGTGGTCCAAAGCCAACCTCGTTAGGGTCTGCGGGCAGTGCTCGAGCAGCTGGCACACCCATGGCACTGGTCCATCCTGCATTGACTCGACTAGGGCTTGCCACCACTCCTCGCAACCACAGTGCAGCTAGCTCTGCTGAGCGGAGTAGCTCTAAAGGCACCAGCGGTGGTGGTGGCGGTGGGGACCGCGAAGGCGAGGATGGAGATCATGATGATGGCGATGCATGCAAAGTCACTGAGAGAGATATGGCTGAGATCAACCACTGGCTTCTTCCCAAGTCATGGGTGCCGAAGCTTGTGATCACACGTGAGGCATTTGACACCCGATGCCCTAGGGGAACCAAGTTGATCCTGTACAGAAGGTGCACTTACGAGATTTTCGCTATGTACGGTGAGTGTGCAAGATGGGATGGACTGCATCAACGAGTCTGTTTTTTTCTCGACGACGAGCGAACAATAATGAGCGAGTGTCGTGAGTATTTCCAGAGACGAAAGGATCGGCTGAGGGAGAGGAGAACTCTTCCTCTGGAAGATAAAATGCAGGAGATGTTCGATCAAGGAACAGCCTTCGGTTTGAGGGAGATCATCTCCATTGCAGGGGTCAGCAGAACCATCATATTTTACCCTAACTCTCGATTAGATGGGCTGGTAAAGAGAGAGGAGATTCTGGGGCAGAAGATGATAGAGACGTTTGACAACCGCGATGATTTTCTTATCTATCGCAGTGCCCGATATGCTCCTCCTGATTCCGTAGAGTCGCCCGATTCTGCTGCATCTCCCGTCACAGTGGCCAACAAGGCAGTAGTAACAGGGGGAGAAACAGCAGGAACAGCCGCTGGAGCAGCAGCATCACCCACGGCCGTTGGTGGAGGAGGAGGAGCCACAGACCTAACACCCGAGCCCAGCCAATTGCAGTTGTCGGCAACAAATACCAGCCAAGAAGGTGCTGGCGGAGGCGGCAGTAAACCAGAACTTGAGCGCTCACTATCACAATCGGTTATGGGACCGGAGTCGGCTATTAACAGCAACAGTCCTTCATCAGCAGTGGCAGGAGTAGGAGGAGTAGCTGGCGGCGGAGGAGAGAGTACTCTGACCTCCAGGCCTGCAAGCAGTGTTGCGGATAGTTCGATGGCGGGAGCGGGGCAAGCCAAAAGCTTGCAGTGGGCGCTTCCCAGTAAAGCAGCACAAAGTACCACATATACGTCCAATCTCCTTGGGAGTGGGGGTGGAAAGAAGGTTGGTTCAGGGGACAAGCCCCGAGGAGAAACGGGTGAGTGGTCCCCACCAGGTTTTGGTTCTCGGGGTCGCGCTTCGTCGGTTACGGTTCCCGTTCTGCCTATTGCAAAGATGACAGAGAAGTTAGCTCGGAACCATGATAAACGAGCGCAGGAGGACATGAAGAAACGATCGTTTCAGTTAAGTCTGGACCAAATCAGTGTCAAATTCCACTATGCCGAGTCGAGGATCACCGCGGGATCTCGCATATACACGAAAGATGGTTTGTCGACGATCACCCAAGTCGATCCCTTTGAGCCGCGGCCTAAGGAGTCCGCTTTAATGGACGAGTACCAGAAACTGTTAGTTGCCGAACGCAAGTGTATGGAAGCAATCCGACAGTCTGAGAAGGAGACACTAGAGATTATCGAACAAAGAGCTAAGGAAGAACAATCTGTCACTTTGGTCGTGCCTTACTACGATGTAGTCCGCGTGAAGAAGGAAGAGAGCGACGAAGATAAAGAGGAGGAGGTGAAGGTGGTACACGATTACCTGTCGCCATTCCTGCCCACCGGCCCAAGGGCTCTGATGCCGCTATCTCGCAAGGATATGATGGAGGTAAGGGACAAATGCCTAAAGGCCCTCAAGGATCGACTCATCCAACGGGCCAATATTATCCAAGCTCGGTACGATGACGAGACCGCCGCTCTTGCCAAACGCCAAGCCAACTTCCATCGTGATCGTGACCAAATGACTAAAGAGGAGGAAGATGAGTATGAGCTTGCTTGCGAAGAGTCTCTCTTCCGCATCCATATAATTGAAAAGAGACTCAAGCGACATGAAGAGCAATCCTTACAGAAGTACTATGATTTGGATGCCAAGCTTCGAAGTGACCCTCGCCTTGCGGGACTCACAGAAGGCGTACACTCACCGCAACCGTCTACTTAGATTCCTCGTTATCGCCATCATGATCGTCATCATCATCATCATCATCATCATCATCATCATCATCGTCGTGTACGCGTAACTTATTTCCCTGAACACAACACAGGGTCATCATAGCTGTGTTTAGTGCAACTTTCACATCAGATAGAGATATAATGACCATGCATGGCGTTCTGGAAAAGACAATACGACCGTAGTACAGAATATCAAGCATAAGGCACAGAGCTCCAAGTATGGGCTCCTGAAGGTTTAAAACAGTGAATGCAATTCGCAATTTTGCACTGAAGAGAGAATTCAAATTGATGAATGGGCCTATCTGAGTTGGTACACCCATGAACTGCTGAAATGCAGACCAGGGTTCAAATCTGGATACCACCAGATGACCAGAATAGAATCATTCTGAATGACCTGGGGCCAGTCCGTTCGACGATGATATCTCAAGGCCGTCGCCCAGCACCAGTACACGGGCACCTGGGCCACGGGCCTAACACCTCAAATTCTGGAGGCGCGAAACAAAAACGCGACCGCCGATCGAATTTATCAACGGCGGGCCCAGCGTTTGATGTTTCGGCCTCGTTTTCTTGTGGTGACAAGTTTTGTACTGCAAGGCTGGGGCCGTGTACTTGTGGTTTAAAAAAAAAATAAAAAAGTTTTATGAATGCGAATTTCGAACTGTGTTGTGCCAGCTATGGACCGGCTCCAGTCTTTTGTTCACAAATAGGGGTTGAGGAAAGTAACAACTTGCTAACAAGGCCAATCCGGCCAATCCGCCCTGCAGGGCAAGGGAATTGGATGTAACCATACTTGAAACTGTACCGCGCGCCACACTGTCCGGTGCGCCGTATGGGGTCTAGTTCGGGACCTTCCCGTCTGGCCTACAGGCCCGTACCAGCGTACCTGTACCACACAGGACCGCACTGCGCCGCATGCTGTCCGGTAGGGCAATCTCCCGCCCGGTGCGGTTTTGCACGCGAACTGTGCGCAGAGGTCCGACGCGCTGTCCGGTCCTGTGCGGAGAGGTCCGACCCGCTGTCCGGTCCTGTGTGGAATCAATTTATTTCTTTTTAATTAATTTGAAAGCACTGCGCCCTGGGAATGGTACCGGCACTCCAGTACTTGCAGACCCACCATTTCCGATTTTTGGACGGATCTTTCCCTGCTACCCCGCCTTCGTGGCAATGCCCCTTTATCATAGCGGAAATGTGCGTGCCACACGTCATCGTGACCTGCAGACAGGGAGAACCGTCCAGCAGAAGCCAGGAAATCAGCCTCATCCAACATCCTCGCTGGAGAACAACCCCAATCCACAAGGAGGAGACATGGAGGAGGAGGAGGAGGAGGAGGAGGAGGAGGTGAAGCGTAGATGATGTGGGTGGCTTTCGAAGTTCAAAGTTCAAGCTTCGGTTAAAGCACTAGTACCTCCGCCAGTGTTGGGAAATTAGGGAAAACGCCTGTTCCCGAAGAGTTCGGAGGCCTGGCCCGACGACGGCTGCGGTTGATAAATCTCATCGACGGTCGTCGTTTCGCTTTGACCTCCTAAAAGGCCGGAGGCCCACCCGAGGCCTGCTATTTTCACACTCGGCAAACATACTACTAGTTAAAAATTGCCAAACGTACTACTAGTTAAGAAAAGAAATAAGAAAAAAACGATGAGGGCCGAGGAGGAGGAGAGCGAGGTTATGCGGAGGACAGCGAGGTTATGCGGAGGAGAGATGGAGGAGGAGGTGATGATGATGAGGAGGAGGATGACGACCCCACAATTTCATATTTGAAAAAAGAAAAGAAGAAAAAGGTGACGAGGTCGTGACGAGGAGGGGAAGAGACGGACGAGGACGACAAGAGATGGAAGAGGAGGACAACGAGATGGAGGACGAGGACGGCGATAGATGAAGCAGGAGGAGGAGGAGAGATGGAGAAGAAGGATGTGACACATAGGAGGAAAGAGGTTGGAGGGGGAGGAGGATGTGACGAGGAGTAGGAGAAGAGACGGAGGAGGACAATAATGTTGGAAGACGACAAGGACCCTGCCATTTCATCTCTTCTCTATACTATTAATGCATGCAAAGGGCCCAGCGTGGGGCCCAGCAGAAACCGGGTCGGCACTGAGCGGGCTGAGCGGGACACTCAAGGGCCGAGGGATGGTCCAGCCCGGCACCTGGAAGTGAATCGCGCTGACGGTCGCGTGCAGTTGGGAAAATCGAGACGGGCGGGGCTTGAAGGGGGGCTGAAGTGACGTGACGGATGGGGCCAAAGCGGGGCTGAAGCAACGTGACGGATGGGGCCGAAGCGGGAAGTGGCATGAATTGACTAGCGGTGAGGCGACAGGGGTGGAGAGAGAGAGAGAGAGAGGGTACTTCCATTGATAGGATGAGAAAAATCGAATGAATCTACCGCTGGAACATGGAAATATACACTGCCACAATTTTTTTATTTTTTTTTTTGCGTGTGT